ATTCATGGCTCTGGAGTTACACATGAATTAGCATGGTATTTTGAACAGTAGCACACAGTAACTGAGGAACTTTTTACAACATTATGCTCTTGCAATTCGTATTGCTCTTAAACTACCAGTGTATTTCTGTAGACCTAATCTGAATTTTGGCCCCCGATCCAGAAATATTCTTGTGTGGAACATAGTTTGAATTTGTTTCTAGCGATGTGACCTCAACTGAGCGAATAGTCATGAAGTTCTTTGGGGAAACTCAAAGATTATTTATGATATGTCTTGAATCTATCCATAGATGAAATACATTTAAATTTGACTTTATAGCCACTTAAGACATATAATGGAAATGTCAATTAAATGTTGTTAAAGCCATTAAATTTAATTGAGAGAGGGTATAAGATATACTAGGTAGGTAAATGAAACAATAGAAGATCTTTAAATACAGAGCAAAATGTGGTCTTTGGTGGAAAATGAAATTAACTTTGGATTTGTGCTATCGAAAAGTTTTTGATATGAACTGTTGCTTGCTATTTTTAATATAAAAAAGCATATCTAAATTTTGCAATTTCTCACTTAAAGGGATTAAAATATTTTAAAATTGTAAAGAAAATGGTTTTCTAAGTAGAAATGAACTATGTAGAACCAAAAGTGATATTCCAAAAAAATATAAGGAAATTAGAACAAGGAAATGCAAATGTTTTTATGATTTTAGAGAAGATTCACATACAATTAGTCCCAAAGTAATGTCTGTAGTAACTATTTTCCAACCATTATTGATCAAGTTATGGTCTTGTAGAGAGATTTGAATAAATTAAGCAATGTACTGCAATTTTTGGTTTTCTTCATTCTGACATTTAAATATTTGAAAGAAGAACTTAATATTGTGTGGATATAGATGTTACTTTAAGAGATAGTAAAAATCATGCTGTATGTGATAATGATTTATATGGTGAAAGTAATATAGTATTTTTTGCATTAACAATAATTTGTCATATGTGATTGTTACAGTGCTTGAATGTAACATGTAAAATTCCAAATGCAAGTATTGCTTTAAGAATTTTATTGACACTTCCAATAGAAGTGCTATTGCCTCAGTAAAGTTTCTCCAAATTGAAATTAATTAAAAAAAAACTATCTAGAAACTACAGTGAATCAAAAACAGTTGTCAGAAACATTTGGCATTATCATCTATGGAATATAATGTTATGTGAAAATCCTGGTTACAACAATAGAATGATTTTTCTGAAACAAAAGTCAAGAAGGTTAAGTCTTATGATACACATATTACAAGTTAATTACGAAGTCTTTATTTTACTCACTTTCACGTTGTTGGCCCATCAATGCATGAGCAGTAATAATTAATTTGGTTGTCTCTGATATTTTGCCAACTTTTTTTCATACAAAAACCATAACTTTACACATATTTGAAATTTCTGTCATCATAAAGGTAGAACGATAGAAAATTCTTAGTTAACAATTTTTCACTTGACTTCTGCCTTTTAAACATTTAGACATATGGTATGTGGGCCTCCATTTGTATGCTCGTCCTGAGCTCCTTGTTAGAGGTGAGCCTGCCTTCAGCTGCAGGGTGGTAGTGGCTTTTTGCTATCAACTTCCTGTTGCCTGCTTGGCTTCTTGGTTCTTCCATCATCCTTTAATTTTGCACAAATAAGCAGACACATGAATATTTTCTTATGTCCCTTTCTTTTTTACATGAAAGGTAAAGTCATGGGTTAAATAGTGTCCCCCCCCAAAAGGTATGTTGAAGTCCTTATCCTCATGCCCTCAAAATATGGCCTTATTTAGAAACAGTGTCATTGTAGATGTAATTCGTTAAGATGAGGTTATGCTGGAGTAGGCTAGGCTCTTAATCCAATGAGACTAGTGTCCTTATAAGAAGAGAGAAATTTGGAGACAGAGGAAAGGATGATGTGAGAGTAGATGTTCATGTGCTGACACAAGCAAAGACTGGAGTGAAGCATCTGTAAACTGGGAAATGTCAAGAATTGCCAGCAGACCCTGGAGGTTAGAAGAGGCCGGGAAGGATTGTCCCCTACAGGTTCCAGAGGGAGCATGTCCCGCTAACAACTTGATTTTGGACTTCTAGCCTCTAGGACTGTGTGACGATACATTTCTGATGTTTTAAGACACATAGTTTGTGATACTTCGTCATAGAAACGCTAGGAAACTAATATAGGTAGTATGATGAATATACTCTTTGCCTGTTGTACAAGTGCTCTGCAGGCTAAATACCTAGAAGCACATCCGTTGGGTCATAACAAGCCTGTATTTTTCATCTTAACAGCTCCTCCGAATTGTCCTCCAGCGTGGCAATGTCAGTGTACTCTCCTATCAGCCTTGCATGGGAGCACGTTTCCTTATGCCCTGGCCAACACTTGACATTAACAGACATGTACTTTTTTCCCATCTGATGGGTAAAAAGCAGTATTTAAAAAAATTGTATTCCCTGATTACTAGTGAGATTGAGTTTTTTCCCATATGTTAATTTCCCATTTGAATTTCTTCTTCTGTAAATTGTCTTTTTATAACCTTTGCCCGGTTTCCTGTTGTGTTATTTGTTTTATTCCTACTAGTTTGAAATACTTCTTTATGCAGGAGATGATCTTATTCATTTTAAACCATTCCTGGTATAGGAAGAGCTTTTAAATATCAAGAATGTTTGTTGGGTTTAATTGGTTGTCTTTTCAGCTTCTAGTGAGATGATCAAATGATATTTATTTGACCTATTGATATGAGGCACCTGTAATTGTAAGAACTTTAAGAAGCAGAGCAATTAAATATTTATGGGCAAAAGGAGTGATGCCAATGTGGGGTTTTTCAAAATATGTCTAGAGGGCTGCCTGGTTAGAACAGAGGATGTGTCTAAGGGAATGTGACGGTCAGCTTTAGAAAACTGGCTGAAGCTTTGTGGGGCTTTATGTGGGGTACAGAGTTTGAGCTTTACTGTACAGGCAAAATGAAATCACTGCAGAATTTTGAGTAAAGGACTGTAGAATTTAAGAAGATTAATATGATGCTGTGGTGGAGGAAGACGAAAATAAAAGCAAGGAGTGGACTTAGAAACCCAGGGGTGAGATGAAAATAGCCTTTTGCCATAATGACCCTAATAAGGAAAAAAAGGAGGAAGGTAGGTATCACACCAATATGACTCTGATGAGGAGAGATTTAGGAAGAAGATCTTCATAAGGAAAGAAGTGTACCTATTCAAGCATAAGTACTAACGCGTCACAGACTTGGGGGACTTTGTCAGGAGGGCTAAAGTGGAAGATAACTTTTGGGTTTCAAATAATGTCCAAAGTTAATTAGGACAATAGAAATAAGAATATACAGAGGGCCTTTTCTCTGGGCAATGATGTAATCTTGATGGACGGCTAAGAGAAAGCACACCTCATCAACCTTTATTTTGCTTCCAATTGACAATGTCAAGGAGAGTGATTTTCAGACTGAAGGTGGGGTGTAGGGTAGAACAACTATGATAACTGAAGATAGTTCACAATGGGTGAAAAAATTATAGGAGAGCATCTATCTGCTCTGTGTGAGCTGTACCCCAGGAAACTGAAAGAAGTTTTAATGATATCTCTGAATCTCTGATGTTGACCTTGGAGAAAGCCTGGAGAATGTGAACTTAAAAATAGATGTGTGTGTATGCCTGTGTGTGTGTGTGTGTGCGCAAATAGAATTCCAAATTTCAAAAATGTAGATTTCACAAATTGCAAATGATCTTAATGTCATTTCGGGGCAAGACCCTAGGATAGCATTCCAAAGGGATGACTTGTAGTCTCCTAGAAGAGGAGGTGAGGATCTTTGGTTCTACATGGGTCATGCCATGACTGTTAGATCCAGGAGCACGATCTGATGCAGGAAGCACTAAAAATCAGGAGGTATTAGAAACCCAGTAGGAGCAAGCACAAGGAGGACATGAAGAAAGAATATTTAGCTTGGAGGGAAGAAGGCTTAGAGAGAACATGGTGGCTGATGTCAAATATGAGAAAGACCATTATATGGAAGAGGGATCAGGTATCTGTGGGCTTCTCGAAGGCCAATGGGTAGAATTCCAGGGACCTAGGATAAGACTTAGGATAAGGAAGACCTGTGTAACCACGTGCACCATCCAGTAGTGCTTTCCAAGACAGTGATTTTTCTTTTTCTTTTTTTAAAGATTTATTTATTTTTGGTCGTGTCGGGTCTTAGTTGCGGCACGCGGGATCTTCCTTGAGGCATGCGGGATCTTTTGTTGCAGCGCAGTCTTCTCTCTAGCTGTGGTGTACAGGTTTTCTCTCTCTAGTTGTGGTGCGTAGGCTCCAGGACGTGTGGGCTCTGTAGTCTGCAGCATGTGGGCTCTCTAGCTGAGGCTCGCGAGCTCAGTAGTTGTGGCGCCCGGGCTTAGTTGCCCCACAGCATGTGGGATCTTAGTTCCCTGACCAGACATCGAACCTGCATGCGCTGCATTGTAAGGCGGATTCTTTACCACTGGACCACCAGGGAAGTCCCCCAAGACAGTGATTTTTCTATCACTGCAAGTGTGCTAGCAGAAGCCGGTCAGTCACTTTTTTTGGAAATGTTCTTGAAGAGATTCATGTGTTATTGTGTGGGTAACTCTAAAGTTCCTTCCAATTTTGAGCTTCTGTGATCCTAGGCCAGTGTAGGTGCGAATGGGAAGGATTAGGTTGGAAATACAGAGACTGTGAGCCGTAACTAATGAGGAATTGGAAGAAGACAGAGGGAAGAAATGTAGATCACTCAGTTGAGAAAAGAAAATCCTGTAGTCATATAGTCTAGAGGAAGAATCCACCATCTTTTTAGCCCCAAAGACCAGGATCATCTCCAAATGGTTTAGGGCTGTCCAAGAACGTTGCACTTTAAAGAAGGCCTCTAATCAGTGTCTTTCATAGGATTTTGGGGATGGAGGACAAACATTTCAAAATACAATTTTAATGATGTTCAGAAAAGATGACATTGTGCATTTTGCTCCCTTCCCCCCGCAGGACTGCTCAGGAGGACCATGAGGGAGGGGCAAGGCACATCATTGGAAGCAGGCCTAAGGCACAGGCCAGGAGAAAAAGTTAAAAAGCAAGAGCAAGAAAGGAGTGGAATAATGGCAGAGAGAGGAAGAATACAGACAAAATGAACAAGTACATTTATTGTGAACAGAAGCTGCCTGGGCTTCCAGAGGTCTCAGGTGCACCTCTTTCAGCTGGTTCTCAGGGGCAGGAGAGTTGGGTACCAGGAGACTGAGGCTCTACTGCTGGCTGTGCCCCAGCTTCCCGAGTGACCTTGTGGATGTCATTTCGCCTTTCTGCCTCCTTCCTATTGTCAAAGGCAGGCATACTGCTAAGCTAAAAGTGCTCTGGGCTTTACCGAAGAAAATAGCTCCAGAAATTTAAGACGTTGCCTGCCTGTGTACGAAGTGTCTGCACTTGTTTCTGTTTTTTTCACGGTTGACGGAGGGAGAGCGGGTAAGAGGAGTGTAGAAAGAAAGGTGAGAAGACATTGTGGCCAAAGTCGCTTAGCTCCGCCTTAGCTCCCGGGACCGGGATCTGGCAGAGGGGACATGCCTGCAGCCCGCGACCAGTGGGGCACCCAGGAACCCGAGCGGACATCCTCGGGTTCAGCTGTCCCTTCAGCGAGTCCCATTGCAGCATCAGGGACGAAAAGCGAGGCACACCCCTCCCCCACTAGATGGCACTGAAACGCCTCGTTCGCGATTTTCAAAATGCAGGAAGGAGGAAAAAAGACAAAAAGAATATGGTGGAGGTGCGCTCATTTTGCATCGCAGGCCCAGTTGTTCAAAGCAGGGTGCCGGACCCTCTCTTACTCTCCAGGGTAGCTCTTTACCCGGCAGTGCAGGCCCTCGGCTTTGGAATGAGGGTGAAAATGAGGGGCGAGGCTTAGAGTGAAGAGCCTAAGGTTTCGACCTGGGAGGGAGGCTCCCAGCCCTGCGGCGCCGTCTCACGTGAGCCGGGCGGTGTGTGTGTGGGGATGAAGCTGGGCTCGCTCGGGGCCCACTCGCTCAAGGTCTGGGGTCTACCCGCGACACCTCTCAGAGCCCTCGCAGAGCCCAAATCCAGCCCCCACCCGGATAAGGACAAAGCCCGCACCGAGGTTTCGTTTAACCCCACTTCCCCTCCTCAAAGCGCGAGGCCCTGGGCGTTTTCATAATGTCTATTAAGCACCACCCCCCCACACCCATGAAAATTCTGTTCCTCTTGTCTGGAAAGGATCAGTCAATTTTCTTTTTTCTTCTCCCGCTGAGGAGGGAGGTGGAGGCAAGTGGAGGTGGGTGTGTGTCGGGTGTCTGGCGCTGGCGTGGGGCTGGACCGGGGCTGGCGGTGACAACCCCGCGGACACGCGTTCAGCCCCGGGTGGAAACGCCTGTAGCTGATAGGATAGCGCCTGTGGCTTTCTAGGGAAAACAAAGATCAAATACAATCCAGGACATCTGCGACCGAAACCGGGGATGCAGGGAACTTCCTCAGCCCCTCTGAATGCCGACTCCGCAATAAGCAGTCTTTTCTTCTATTTAAGGGAATTTTCCACGACTGAAAAGAGATAAACAGGAGATGGAGGCAACATCCCTAATTTAATACTAATGCGTGTAAACATGCTACATACCACATATATGTATATGTGCATAAATATGGATGTGGTTGGGCACAAACCTCTCTAGACACCATTGACTTGCCTGGTCAAAGAATAAGGCTTAGACATTTTGCCTGGGAAATGGTGCACTTTATCTTTAAGAATGCTAGAAAAATAAGAGATGAGGCTCACGTTGCACGGATGACATCACTAGCTTTTGGCTGCGCGCTCCGTGTTCTCGTCTGTGGGTTTTAGCCAAGGCTGCAGCGCCCGGCGCCCGAGCGAGCACAGCAGCGGCTTCCTACAGCGCCCGCAATCGGGCGATGCTATTTCCCGAGCCTCCCGGGCGCAGCCTGGGCTCTCGCTCCCCGGCACCGGCCGAGACCGCAAGGCCCCGGAGCCGCCGCGGCTAGAGGAGGAGGCCGGGAGGGGAAGCTGAGCGACCCAGCCTCCCTCCCCCACCCTCGCCCCATTCACCTCGGCGACCACCTCGCCGGGAGCCTGATCGTGGAACGCCGAGGCTGGGATGCGATTCTCTGCACGCTGCCGAGCGAGCCGGCACCTCAGCTCCTGGGTGGGCTGCGAAGAAAATGCTGCAATCTGAGAGCGGCTGACCCCAGTTGGGCAGCGCAGACGGGGTGCTAGAGTGCTGGGGCTCAGGTGTAAGGAGAAGGGGGCGGATTGTGTTGAAGGGCCGGGGCAGTTGTTTTTCTGGGTACCTGCAGCTCCCGGGCAGCACGTTCCCGGGGCTACCCGGGAGCCAGATGAAGTGAGGCGGAGGCGCCGCGGGAGAGGCGGGTCTGAAGGTGGCAGGGTGGACACTCCAGGAAGAAGACGGCACTGGGGAGGGCGGCATGACGCCCCGGGGGCTGGCTGCTTGGCTGGCGGGGAGCAGCCATCGCGCGACCTGTCCATGGTGTTGAAGGCGCCCTGCGCCGAGCTCCGCGAGCCCCGCGTGGTGCGCCCTGCCGGGTGCGCCCTCCCCGGCGCAGCCCGCCTCTCGCGCCCGCGAGCTGCCGCCCCGTCGCCGCAAACCCCCGGCCAAGGCTCGTCCGGTAACGCCGTCCGGGTGACCGCACCGTCGGCCCGAGGGGCCGCCTGAATGGCGAAGCAAGAGGCAGACGACCCGGGAGCTCGCGGGGAAAGGTCGGCCGAGACCGTGCGCCGACTGCGAGCCCGCCTCTGAGCGCAGCGCGCTGGCCAGAAGAAGCAAAGGACCTGCTGGTGGCCAGAGGACAGAGATTTTTAAAAGACCCGACCCAGAGAGGAAGAACATTTCTTCTCTCGCAGACCGGAAGGGGGAGAGTGGCTAAGAGGGAGACCCAGGCGGGACGCAGGGCAGGCAGCCCTGGCATCTGGAGGTTTCCTTCGCGGGCCGGCCGCATCGCGGGTGTTGCAGTTCATCCAGTGTCTAGCGGCTCCTCCTGATAGACACTCTCCCACCCCCATCCCCCTCCCAAGAAAGCCAAGCGAGTGGGTCCCATCGCCCCCCTACACAAAGAAAGCCCAAGGAGCCCCGCCGCAGCCGAGGGCACTCGGTGTTTGGTTTCCGGCCCGAGGGCAGCGTCGCCCGAAGCCCGGCTGAGTGCGGCCGCGGCGGGTTCGGAGCAGTCGCTTCCTGCCGAGCCGGGAGGGGGCGGGAGGCGGCCGTGTCTGGCTCGCCGCCGCCTGAGGCTGCACCTGCTCCGCAGGATGCGCAGAGGCTTGCCGGAGCCTCTCCGGATGAGAACTTTTTAGGCTGCCCGCCCGCGTTCCCGCAGTCCCTGGGCTGCGCACCGGCAGCCGGGGGCCGAGGGGGCGCCGCTGCGCGACCCCCTCTCCCGCCCCCTCCCCCTCCTTGGCTCGGCAGCCCGCCCGCCCGCAGCTGTGTTCCGGGCGCGCGGAGGGAAGGCGAGGCTGCGGCGGGTCATGCCCACGGTGTAGCCGCGAAGCGGAGGCATGGCTGCCGGAAGGTTCCTGCTCTACACGGGCCTGTCGCTAGCGCTCTGCGCCCTGGGCATGCTGGCCGTGGCCGTCTGCTCAGACCACTGGTACGAGACGGACGCCAGGAAGCACAGGGACAGGTGCAAGGCCTTCAACACGCGCCGGGTCGACCCTGGCTTCATTTACAACAATAACAACAACTTGCCACTCCGGGCCAGCCGCTCGCGCCTGGACCGCTGGGAGGGCACACTCCTCCGGGCCCGGAATCGCCGGCAGCTCTTCGCCATGAGCCCCGCCGACGAGTGCAGCCGGCAGTACAACTCCACCAACACTGGCCTCTGGAGGAAGTGCCACCGACAGGGCTTCGACGCGGAGATCGCGGCCCTGATTCGGAAAGGTAAGCGCTCGCCGCGACGCGTGGCGCTGCGGAGAGACCGGCGCCTCTGGGCCGGGCCGCCCTCTCCTCCCTTGAGCGGCCGCAGTCTCGCAGGCCTCCTGGTTCCAGGAGGTCAGGTTATCCAGGCTCGGCTGAGGCTTGCAGTGGCCAGATCTTGCCGCCGAGTAGCTGGTAATGGAGGCTTACCTCTCCCTACCCGGCCTCTTGCCTTGCGTTTTGTCTGATGGGATTCCAGTAGAATCTCACGGTCCAGGGTTTTTACACAGGGAAATGGCTTCAGTAGTCTCTGAAAAGCAAGGGAGTCTATAATGTTCTGCTTTTAGTAGAGGAAGCCCTTTAAGAGTGATTTGTCGGTGTAGACACACTCCTAGTTTTAATCTTTGTTTTGGATGTTGTTGAACTGATTCATCAAGGGAAATTTGGGAAAACATCTCACAGAGAAGGCCTTATTCATGCCGGAAGCGTTTAAGTGCTATGCTATACCGGGCATACTGCAGGCATTGGTCATATAAACATTAATAAATCACAGCCCCTGCCCTGTTTCACCCCCAAAGCCCGTTGACCTGTAGCATCATGCCACAATTCTTGATTTCTCATTTTGAGAAAGTGGTTGACAAAAGTGTCTTATGCACATTGAATATGAACAAGATCTAATAAGCACACAAAAAGTAGTTCTTCCAGCAGCACCAAAGTGGGTACTTAAGACAAAAAAATACTATTTTCAGAAGATTTGTATAAAAAATACCCAAAGTATACCAAAACAGAAAACAAACTGCATTTGCTAATGATAAAAATTTATTTGATACTTTAATATGATCACATAAATTTTTAAAAGTCTCTTCATCTGATGCAGTTTGTAAATCTTGCATGATTTATACTTTGGGGACTATCCTGTTCCGTTAACCTACTGAGATGTTGTTTCGATGTATACTAATATTGCTCTGAAGAAGGGAATATGCATTGATGGTAGCTGCACCCTGGAAGATGTGGTGCAATTCTATATGTCTTGTTCCCCGCACCTCCCTTCATTTTCTTCATCTATTAAGTGGTGATACCAAAGTGAAAACAATGCTGTTATCTGCAAAGTCTCTGTGGCCAAGATACCAAGCAGTTTCTTAATGTCTCAGTAATTATAATGCAAGGTTTCTCCTGTTTTAAAATCTTATATGTGAGAACTGATATTCTTTGATTTATAAAACTGTTGACATGGATCAGAAAAAAATTGTTAATTTGAAAAAAAGTCAGTTGTTTAAGAAAGGCAAACAGTGGATATGGATTTAGATTTAGGTGGGGTAGGTCCAGAAAGAGAATCCATCTTAATGTTTGTTTTACAGCTTCTGTAGAATGACGAGGGATTTTAGCTGATTTAGTTAAGAATGTATTACTATTACAAATATCACATCTGCTTCATGGTTAGACTCTTATTAGAGCAGGGTGTCCCGCTTGGAGCTCTACAACTTTGTCAAGCTGTACAGGATATTGGAGAATTGCAGAAGAGAATAACTTGGGTTTGGATTTAGAAGTGGGAAAACAAGAGGAAGCGGAAGAGTTTTTGACAATGGGTGACTTCGTAGCAGTTTTCAAATTCTCAGATTCAGAAAATGTTGTTTTATCCGTCATTTTCTGCTTTTATTAAAATTGCAGTGGTAGGAAGTTAGTTGACATGTGAGGAAGAATTCATGTTAATAATGACTGACAAACACTGGTAGGACTTGCTGAAGGACATTCTTGAATTTCCTTTCTTGAACATCTCCTGGAACAAGACTGGTATCCTTCTGTCTGGTACTGGTTAACCCCACTTAGAAAAAGGGGGATGGAATTCGTGGCTTCTGGTGGTTCCATTGAGAGCTTTGATTCCATGTTGCTCTGCTTGGTGATCCGACTAGAAAGGTTGACTTGGTCTGTGCACCAGAGGGATTGGTTACCATAGTGACATGTTCTTCCGGTGAAGCTGGAAACACAGTGACGGGGAAAGGGGTAGGGGAAGGATGTACAACATTTTGACTTTGTATCGACTGATTTTTAATTGAAGCAACAGAAAATGGACCAGCAGGGGGATTGAATACACTGATACCTAGAGTTGGGAGGGCACTGTATTTCTCTTGAACTAATGCAAACGCTGTTCCCCATCACCCAAAATAAAGCAGTCACTGTCAGCTGCAAGCCCTTGCTTACCATGGCTGTTTCTGTCCATTTGACATTCTTGTTAGTTATTATTGAGATAGATGGTATGCCAGCCTTACAAATCTTGAGAGACTTAAGGGCACTATCTTCATTTTTAATCTCAAAACATAATCTTTCAAAGCCAGATCTGCTTTTTCTAAGTAGTGATGGACACATTTTGGAAATAAGTGCATCTTATATTAGGAGAATTCACAAGCAATTCCAATGGCACATAGAATGTAACCTCTAGACTTAATGTTCCTCCTAGAAGTACAGATTTCAGAAGGAAGTTAAAAAATAAATTGATATCCCTATATTTACTTTTAGGACACCTTAGGGAAAGATATTTCTCTCATGGTATTCATTAGCAGCCTCAAAAGCTATCTTACGCCTTTGTCTTTTTTGGAAACATCTTCGATTAAAATTCTGGAGATATGTGTTGGGCAGGGGGAAAGGGAAATCAGAGAAAAGACTGCTTAAAAGCTGTCAATATTATGGGAAAATTAGAGATTTATCTAAATGATCATATAGCCCTAAAGAACTCAGTCATTTGTTAAATCAATGTTCATTACATTAGAAAGTGCTGTTTTTGCATTTTACAATAAAACCACATAATTAATAAGAAAACAAAACAAATCCATATCTGATTTGAAGATAAAGTCCTTGGGATTCATGTTCTTTCTGGAATCCGTTTCTTGCCCTGCTGACATGACTGTACCCACAAAAAGGCATTTCTGATCACTGCATATTTATTTGTTTGTCTTACTGAACAATAAGTTCCTGGAGGGCAGGAAAGATAATCATTTGTAAAATACATCTGCTTGGTACTTGGGAAATATACAAATTAGGTTCACAGAAACTTATCCATCAAGAGCTTATTCTAATTGTAGGAACACCGTATGGGAATCCAAATAAAGGATTAGTCAGAAAACTGTGATAGGAAATGAACCAGTGTAGCTCTCAGGGCAGGTTAATATTGCAACAGAGGCTACATAATTTAACAAGGAGGATTTCTTGAGCAAAAGCTTTGCTAAGGAATAGAGGTAACACCGTAGTTTTGGATAACACGTGTCATTGAAAAAACACATATCACGCACAATCATTATTTTTCACATTAGATAAGATTTTAATTATTTCCTTCTCGAGGGTAGGATTTGGGTAGAGGGTGCAGCAAGGATCAGTCACTCTTGAATTCCCATCTGTGTCCATACTCATGTCCTCTTGTCTTCCTGCTTTTCAACCTCATCTGTGTCTCCCTAGTAAGTCACTGCACTGGGGACAGATCAATGGCGGGATCAGCTTCTGAAATCCAAGAGACTTCCAGACCCTTAGGAGGACCAGCTACAGGTTGGATTTTGTTCCCGGGAACATGTATATTCTTTGGTTAGTACTGAAATCTTATATTGATATGGCTTGAAATCAGCAGACCTTCAACTGAGACTCTAAGAACTTTTTTATTATTTGAAAATAAGCCTTATAATAGAATTTGACCTAAATGGTTTTCATAATCATGGAGTGATGGTCAATGTTCTGAAGTATATTTTAATGGAACATTGCACGTATTCACAAATTAATAATGTTACTCAGCAAATATTTACTGCACAGGTATTATGGGATGGGCACATATCACTAGAAAGAAGAGAGAATAAGACCTGGTCCTTAGAATTCCCATAGTCTGTTAGTGTCACATAGAATAAGTGACAAGTACAAAACACTGAGAGCAACAGAAACAGATGCAGAGAAACAGAGGAGGTGATGCTGGACTGTGTCGGCAGTGGGATGAGGTCAGGCAGGAAGGAGTTAGGGAGAGTTGCCCTGAGGAAATGAAATTTGAACAAGATTTTCATGAAGTTTGGAGGTGGATGGGGAAGAAGGGCATTTCAGGCAAAGAGGCCAGCATATGCACAGCCATGGAGGTGTGAACCAGCAGTTTGGCCTTGTGAGTGTTGATTTCTGGGGCGAGGGAGAGGAGCAGACCAACAGCTGGAGAGCAGGCGAGGGCCAAGTCAAGGAGCTTGTGAGCTCAGATCCCCTGTAGCAGTGCGGCCCATAGGATGGCTGCTAGCCACACGCGGCTACTTAACTTAAAATAACCAAAATTAAATAAAATTTAAAAATCACTTCTGGGCTTCCCTGGTGGTGCAGTGGTTGAGAGTCCACCTGCCGATGCAGGGGACACGGGTTCGTGCCCCGGTCCGGGAAGATCCCACATGCCGCAGAGCGGCTGGGCCCGTGAACCATGGCCGCTGAGCCTGCGCGTCCGGAGCCTGTGCTCCGCAATGGGAGAAGCCACAACAGTGAGAGGCCCGCGTACCGCAAAAAAAAAAAAAAAAATCACTTCTTTAGTCACATTGGTCACATGACAGATGCTCAGTAGCTGTATGTATCTAGTAGCCATCATTTCAGACAGTGCAGATTACAGAATGTTTCCATCACCACAGAAAGTTCTATGGGACAGGGCGACATGGAGCCTATAGCCTCTAAGAGCAAGCGCATACTTTATTTCAGATGAGGGATAATTGAACATGGTAACTTGGGCTTAAATTTAAGAGTATTATTCTACACCTGAAGAAACTTTGCTACTTGAATGTTTCACAGAAGGTTTTAGTTCATGGTCAGTTGTGCTAAATCTATGTTTTATTAATTTTCCATGTTTTTCTTTTTAAATAAATTTAATTAATTAACTAATTAATTAATTTATTTATTTTTGGCCGCGTTGGGTCTTCATTGATGTGCGCGGGCTTTTCTCTAGTTGTGGCGAGCGGGGGCCACTCCTCGCTGCGGTGCGCAGGCCTCTCAATACGGTGGCCTCACCCGTCGTGGCGCGCGGGCTCAGTAGCTGTGGCTCACGGGCTCCAGGCGTGCGGGCTTCAGTAGTTGTGGCGCACGGGCCTAGTTGCTCCGTGGCATGTTGGATCTTCCCGGACCAGGGCTGGAACCCGTGTCCGCTGCATTGGCAGGCGGATTCTTAACCACCGTGCCACCAGCGAAGCCGCTAATTTTCCATGTTTGACTCACAGAATTCTCTTCTCTCCTTTCCCTCTCCTGACTCCATTAAAGTAACTTGCAAAGTTGACGGGGTGGGAAGATTAATAGTAATCAGACTTGGTGCCAGGTACTCTGCTAAAAGCTTTACATATATTACCTAACTTATTCTTCATAATACTGCTCTGAAGTGGGTAGTATTATTATTTATCTCTATTCTACAGTTGAGGAAACTGAGACACACAAAGCTTCATTAACTTGCCACAGCTCATGATAAGGAAATGAAGTTGTCAGGATTTGAATTCTGGCTCCTGGTTTGGAGACTCACACACCCCACTCTACTGTCACCATAGAGTCTGTCAGGGCAGGGGTGGGGGGAGAAGAAGCTGGTATACTGATTCCCCAAACTAAAAAAGAAATAGGGTCCCTTTGCTGTACACCTGAAACTAACACAACTTTGTAAATCAACTATAACTTTGTAAATCAACTTCAATAAGAAATAAACTTGCTATTTCAAAGATATAACAAAATAGGAAGTAATTTTAGAATCCACAAAGGTGAGACCTGCTGGAGGACTCCAGCTTAACACTGAGAGGAAGGTCATTTCAAAGCAAAGCATCTCACTTTGCCTTGAGACCCCCAGACAGAAGCTTGTCCACCTTTTGTTCTGTGATTTTGAGTATTTTTTTTTTTGAGTGTTTGTTTTGTTCACTGTGGTAGGTGCTGAGGTTATAGACATGAAGGACGTACACATTCATTCCACAAATATTTATTGATGGCCTGGAGGCTGGGTATTGTGGAGAAGCTTACATTCCATGGGGGGAGAGACAAACAATAAATAAATACAGATGGAATAAAAATAATATCGAATGAACTAATCAATATATAATATAATGTGCAGTAGTGAATGCTATGAAGTGTCTTTGCCCTTGGGAAGCGGAAAGGGGAAGGTGGACAAGTAAGCCAAAAATTAAATAGTTCTATTAGTTTTGGTTTCATAATATCCAGAGACTTTACCTGCTCACAGGCAGACACACACAAAACCCACGGTCTCTGTATAAGGTGTGCATCCCCGTGCATATGTGTTATATGTGTGTTGGAGGAGAACAAAGAGTCATCGTGTGGTTCTTGTCCTGAGGGAGCTTACGCTCCAGCTCACTGTTTCCCAAGTTCATTGTCACGTGTTGGGTGGATCAGGCTCTTCTGCAGGAGGTCACGTCTGTATCAACTGGATCAGGAATCAGCTGGTCAGGGAACTCAAGGGTGAGCTCATCTTATTGAACCAACAAAGTCAAGGGTCTTGTTTCTGTTGCAGAAGGTGAGTTTATTTATTCCTTTACTGTAGGGTAGGTAAGGATCAATTAGAGGATCGATTCTGTACATTCCACTTTGGATTGTCAGTTAAAAATATTTTCTCCTAAAAAAAAATATATATATTTTCTCCTTTGCTATTTGTAGGTGATCTTAGGCCTTCAGGCAGAATCCTAAACACACTCTGGGTTAGTTTGACCCTTCACACGCACACACGCACACACGCAGGTATGCATCTAGACATTAGACAGTAGAGTCACAAATGTTCATTCAGATGCACATACTTTTATAACTACTTACCCCAAAAAATACACAGAGAGAGAAGGGAGTGCGTGACTTGATAGATGAGTGGACAGAACGTTTATTCTAACATCTTGATTGGATGTCTGCTGTTTTTGAGAGAATGCATACATTCTTTTAAAGGACTTTGTTTCCTCATGTGTAAAAGAGTGGGTTTGGGGGCTTCCCTGGTGGCGCAGTGGTTGAGAGTCCGCCTGCCGATGCAGGGGACATGGGTTCGTGCCCCGGTCCAGGAAGATCCCACGTGCTGCAGAGCGGCTGGGCCTGTGAGCCATGGCTGCTGAGCCTGCGCGTCCGGAGCCTGTGCTCCGCAAAGGGAGAGGCCACAGCAGTGAGAGGCCTGCGTACCACCAAAAAAAAAAGAATGGGTTTGGATTGTAAACACATCAAACCCTTTCACATTTGATGAGAAAGTTAAGTTTATGTGATAGAGAGTAAATAAAGGGTGAATGGCTGAGAGAAGGTGAAAGAGAGGGATGGGAAATCAGGGAGAGGAAAGGGAGAGAAAGAGAGCAAATTGAGACAGAGACAGATGCTTCTGAAGGGATCATGGCGGCTGCGAGTTTGTAAAAGGAAGAGGTGGAAAACAAAGCAGCTAATTTCATACTAATGTAGGACCTTGTAATAAGAATGAACTATTTCTCTCTCTAATGATTTGAAATGCCATGTTGCAGATTGGGGTTAAAAATCTGAAAAGTTAATGGAGGAAGGTGGTGTTGGTAGCACAACAGTGTGGATATACTTAATGCCACGGAGCCATACTCTTAAAAATGCTTAAAATGATAAAGTTTATATTATGTATGTTTTAACACAATTAAAATAAATAAATAAGTGAATTAAAAGAATTAAAAAACTTAATAGAGAGAGGAACTGGATTCCTGGTATGTAGAATGCTTCAAAACTGAGGATCTTCATTTAGTCAACACATTTTTTTAGCACCTGCTGTGTGCCAGGCACTAGCTCAGATATGCTTGGGACACAGAAGTTAATAAAACAGACATAATCCCTGTTCTCATAGGGCTTGCCCTGAAACACCTTCAAGGACTGTATCTTTTTCCTAAACAAACCTTTTCAAGAGCACCAGTATGTAAAACAAGTAAAAGTAATGAATACATTCCTCGGGTCATTTTAAAACCATTGTATGGTAAAGAACACTTCACTGTGTTTATTCTAAAGATGTCTATTGAGTACCAACTATTTCAGGCACATTACTTGGGGTAGAGGATCCTGAGTGAAATACATAGCTCCTGTCCTCAGAGAGACAAAAAAAGGTAGTATACAAGAAGAGAAACAAATACAAACCCCAAGTTTTTTTTTTTAATATTTTAATTTGATTGGAGTATAGTTGATTTAAAACGTTGTGTTAGTTTCAGGTGTACAGCAAAGTGATTCAGTTATACATAAACATATACTCATTCTTTTTTAGATTCTTTTCTCCTATAGGTTATCACAGAATATTGAGTAGAGTTCCCTGCGCTATACAATACATCCCCATTGGTCATCTATCCTATGCAATAGTAGTGTGCATGAGTTCATCTCAAGCTCCTGATTTATCCCTCCCCCACTGCGTCTCCCCTTTGGTAACCAGAAGTTTGTTTTCGATATTGATAAGTCTGCTTCTGTTTTGTAAATAAGTTCATCTGTATCTTTTTTTTAAAAAATTAGATTACACATATGAGTGATGCCCTGTGATATTTGTCTTTCTCTGTCTGACTTACTTCATTTAGTATGATAATCTCTAAGTCCATCCA